GCCAGATTACTTGGTGTCCATATTTAAATAATGGTATTGACACACTATATGAGAATAGTCGTAATTTATATTCTGGTTATTTCATGCTAAATTGTCTCTGGTTCATTCCGGAAATCTTTTAAATTGCCTCAGTAAAGTGGTTTATAGTTTTAACTTTATTTTTCAGATCACAAGATCATCCAGTACAGCAAACGAACACCACAGGGAATACTTCTACCACATCGACATCAAGCAATAGTAGTACCTCCACACCAGCCTCAACAAACAGCAGCCCTTTCGGTTTGGGTACGATTCTTTGTCTGCTTTGTTCTTGTGGGTTAAGAACACTGCCCTTCCCTTAGTTGTTACAGCCCATGTGCCAGACATTTAGAGAAAAGGGCTTAATTTCAGCATTCTGTCGTAGGAATCTTATTTCCTTGAAATCGTCCTGTGTGGAAAATCTTGCATAGGAGTATTCCACGTATGCTGCTGCTTCATATATAGCACATGAACAAATAGCAAGGTGCAGCTGGTGTTTCATTCCAGCATTACTGGTAATGTGAAAATTATAGAGCTGCCTGTGAGCTGTGCATGCTCTACAGTGTATCTGGATTGGTCCAAGGAGTGAGGGCACTGCAGAAATTGGGACCCTTGTGTCAACCAGATTGTGAACAACAGTGACAAAATTGCTACACCACCTACAAGCTACCTACCCACCTACTTCTCTGACCAAATCGAATCACTGGGCCTAATAGCTCTATCTTACCTTCTCTTCCAGAGCATGCATTTCACAAGAACAGACTGGCTCCTGTTCTGCAGTTGAAAAGTGTTTTTTTTCCTGCTACCCGCCCCAGACTTAGCACTGGTGATTCAGGCCCTCTATCTCGTTTCATTTTCTGAAAAATGAATAGAATAAAAAAGTTCAACTTAGTAAGCATTTGCTGTTGTGGGTTTAAAGTGGCTCAAATTTCACAAGTGATTTTGGTTGCCACAATTTTGGGGTCAGTTTGAAGTTATGCAATTTAGGCAGCGTGAAGATTGTAGAAAACTATTTTACCTTATTTTTAGTACCTGATGCATTAGGAACTGGGAAGAGTTATTGTGATAAAACAGACAAGGAAAATTATACTGTGTTGTAATGCTATCTTTTACTTACTCTCAGTTAAAATTTAAGTGACTACTTCTGCAAATATACTCTTGAGACATGTATGTATATATTGCATGGTTTAAAAGGGAGAAATTTTTGAAATCTAGGGGACACAGACATCAACATTTCTAGAGTGGTAATGACATGTATGTATTATCCGAAGTATTGGTTGTCAGCTAAACGTATTCATTATTAAAACAACAGACATTGGAGAAAGGACTCTTTAGTGTCTAGGAAGGATGGAATTCCCACTGTTTCGCATTGTCTGGAAATTTGGGTGATACATTAAAGTATTTTGAATTTAAAAAAGTTGTCTGGATTAAATTGATTTAGAAATGTACTAAAAGCAGAAAGTTCATTTTTTTCTCTCTTTTCTCCCCCCCCTCCCCTCTTAAGGTGGCCTTGGAGGACTTTCAGGTCTGAGTAGCCTGGGCCTGAATACATCTAACTTTTCAGAGTTACAAAGTCAGATGCAGCGACAGCTCATGTCCAACCCGGAAATGATGGTTCAGATAATGGAGAATCCCTTTGTTCAGAGCATGCTTTCAAATCCTGACCTGATGAGGCAGTTAATTATGGCCAATCCTCAAATGCAGCAATTGATACAGCGAAATCCAGAGATCAGTCACATGCTTAATAATCCAGATATAATGAGACAAGTATGTTGAAAGTTCTCTGTAAATTAATAAACTTTAAAATTCTTTAATAAAATTAAATATGCTGACTTGAGTGTTTGAAGTATTGCTGAGAAATTTAGGATCATAAAGGAAAACTCATAGAATGCTACTCTAGGCAAATACTGTTGATTTTTTTTTCTAGTCACTAATGTCTGAAATAGTTCAGTGTGTTGTCTTTAATGTTAAATAATCTATAACATTCCCTGGAGAGTATTTCAGGATTACATAACTTAATTTTCTGAAGTTAAACTAGGGCAGAACTTGTGTGCACTTCAGATCTCCTATTTTCATTGAGAAAGGAGAGTTATTATACAGCCAATAATGTACTTGCCAAAAAAACCCAACACTGCTTTAATCTAACTTTTAGTACTTCAGTCAGATTTTAAATGCAGTTGAAAGCTGCTGGTATACTTCTACACTGTAGAGGCTTTTAAGACACAAACTAATGGATACTGTGGATTTGAGAAACCAGGTATTTATTCCTAGTGGTTCCTATTTGGAAACAGCATACTCTATTTCTGAGTTGAAACAATAGTAAATTCACTAATTCTGTTTGAATAGAAATGAACTTGGACATAACTTTCTGTGTCTTCCTTCCTCTCTCCTGTCCAGTAACATATAAACAGTATGAATGTATCAATGCTATATAACTAAACTTTCAACATTTTACAATTTTGACAAAATGGCTAATGAAAATTCAGTTGGCTTAACTTTCTAATGATTCCAACAAGAAAAATTCTTGCTGTAGCTCTAACAGCAGTTCACACTAAACTGCGGCAGGTTGGATAATCTATAAATAGCTGTTATAAATGAGACACTGCTTCAGATTATTTTCACTTTAGAATGTATTTTTTACTAATACAGATTAAATGTTCCACTTACTTAGACACTAGAACTTGCGAGAAACCCTGCAATGATGCAGGAAATGATGAGAAACCAAGACCGAGCCTTGAGCAACCTTGAGAGTATCCCAGGTGGATACAATGCCTTGCGACGCATGTACACAGATATTCAGGAACCAATGTTGAATGCAGCCCAAGAGCAGGTGAGAAATGGGTACATACAACTTAATATTAAATCATTTTCTCAGGAGTGAAGGAAATTATGCACTGTTTAAACAAGCATTCAAGAAAATGTAATTTGGTGCTAGAAGACACTGCACTTTCTGTTTCCACTTGTAAAAGTAGGACTGCAGAAATCCCAAACTCTCAACCTTGAAAGAATAAAGTTTTTGTTTCTTAGTTTTGTGACACTGTCTGAAAGTCAGTGATTATGGCATGTGCTGTTTCATAAAGGAACACTCTTAACTTGAATTTTCTGAAATTGACTTAAATTCCTAAAAGTTTTTTAAAGTACTCTTTACATAGATTCAGGAAATTCTATCTTAGAGTCCTTATGAACAGTTTCGGAAGTCTTTTTTGCTGCTTTTCTTAAGTCTTTTCAACAAGAGAGAAACTGAATATGCTGGAGATATATAGTCAGTTTCACTGTAAGAAAAGTGTTGACAAATGCACCAAGTTAACAAAATAGAAAATAGATTTTTCCGTAACTACTTTCAGCCTGAAATCCTGGGTGTTTTGCTGCTATAGTAAGGTACCACATTTTCAGAGATGTGATTTTTTTTTTTTTTTTTAAATTGTCCCTTTTTAAGATTAGCATCTCAAAACAGCTGATTATTCTACCATGAAACTGGTTTTAGGATGGTGAATATAATTAAAGACTGCTCTCGGTATCAGTAGTCTTCAAGTTTGTAATTTTGCATACGTCTCAAAACCTGTCATTTCTAGCAGAGATAAAATTGATGGTTTTAATAGATGGTATTCCTTGTTTTTCCTCCTTTGTAGTTTGGAGGTAACCCATTTGCTTCCTTAGTAAGCAATGCATCTTCAGGTGGGGAAAATCAGCCGTCTCGTACAGAAAATAGAGACCCTTTACCAAATCCTTGGGCTCCTCAGTCCAGTTCTCAGAATTCCACAACCAGTAGCAGCAGCAGTGGCGAAAGTGGGGGCAGTAGTAGTGTTGGAAATAGCACCACCACCAGTACAGGACAAGGCTCAACCATGCCTAATTTGGGACCCGGAGTAGGAGGTATGTTCATTATGATAGAATTGTATTTACTTGCACCCATGCAAGAAATTGCTGAAGTGACAGACATTCTTGTGTTGGAAAAAGTTGTGTTTAAATGACTTGATTTAGTGTTACTAATATTTGCTTGCATAGCTCTCTTTACTAGTATCAAAGTCCTATGTAGGAAAACAAACATGCAAAGTAAACTTATCTCAAGAATACTAAGAGGTGCCACAAATCTGCTAAAATAACAGTAAAAGTAGAGACTTGCTAGACAAATTAAAAACATTCTGCACACTAGACAGAGTGCAAAAGTCCAGTAAGGTAGGTATTGAATGAGATATTGTTAGAATACAGCCTCTCAATCTTTCCCACTTACCTGAAAGGACATATAGAGTTCATGTGAGATCTGAAATTTTACCATGTAAACAGAGGAATGAAATGTGAATGTGTTAAATAAACCAATGTTAGAAATTGTAATAGTAATGCCTCAACTTCAGTCAGTTTGTTTGTATTATCATGGTACGTAGGAGCCCCAGTCATGGACCCACAGCTTTATTGTGCTAGGCACTGCACAAACACATAACAAAAAATATTGTCTGTGCTTCAAAGAGCTTACAGTCTAAATCTGTCAAGAAACAAAGGGTGGAAACAATAGACAGGAAGAGCCTATGGAAACAAGAAAACAGTGATCAGCAGCCCAGCTCTACTTATTGATATCAAGTTTTCTGTAGGCAACAAAGCAAACAAGACAAGGTTTAAGGACAATGAGGTAGTTTAGTGGATGTTTATGGGATCACCTCTCGTGCGAAAGCCACCATGGAAGAGAGCATAAAGGTGCTTGTTTGAAAATGTAATAAGTAGTCGATGCAGGTTGACATCTCCGGCAGAGTGGAGGTCAGAATCAATGTATCAAATACTTTGGTATAGATTTGGAGGAAAATAGGATTTGCTGCAATATAAAGGCAAAAGATACATTGTAATAAGAAGGGAAAATAAGAGTACTTGTTTAGATAAGATTATATTATCGGTGGTGCTGGTATCAATGCTTATAATGAAGGTTGTTGAACATTTCACATTATAAAACCTTGTTTTCAGTTGCCTATAACTTTGCCATATTAACAGTTTAGTCCAACACCAGCATAGACATTTTCAATCTAACACTGAATTTTTAAAAGTTTTTCAGCAAAAAATTATTCTCCATTTCTGAGAACAAGCCAGGGAAAACATGGTTAACTCATGTTAAAAATAAAATATTTTATTCTCTTCCTTGAAGCCCTAGTATTTCTGTGCCTTGGAGCAGAGATAAAGCAATCGCCCTATTATAAGGGATGGGTTTTTTGTGATTCCTGTGCAAACGTAGCAAAAATTTTCCAAATTACAAGTCTTTGCAAATAATTTGCACTTAACTAGTGCTCTTAAATCTGTTAGTGGCCGGCAGCAATATTCACTGAAGATTCATCTTCACTTAGCACGCTCCATTCCACAGAGCTACTAAACATGCAGCATCCCCAGGTTGCAGGGGCTGACATTGCCGGTAATTACTCTGTGCCGTAGGCCAAGGGCCGTTGGGTGTGGCTCCGTGCACCAGAGGAGAGCAGGGAGACTCTTGTGCTCTTGGTGATCCTCCTGCTGGTTCTCAGCATGGAGGGGGAAACAGCCTGACTTGCTCTTGTGCAGAGAGGAGGAAGGCTGCGGCAGTCTTCTGGGACAGATTGGTTAGGGTAGAGAGGTGCACGTTAAGGAGGATAAACGTGGGGAGGGAGACCAGGACAGGCACAGGAGCAGAAGGAGAGGTATAGAAAGATCTGTTGCAGCCACTTGTGTTAAACCAGTGCTGTGTTCCACCACAGAAGTACGGCAAAACATATGACAAGAAGCAAACCCCACCCCAAAAGTCTGGGATTATTTGATAAAATGGAATTACCCTAAATTAAGATTTAGTAATATAACTCAAATGTCTATAGAGTTTTGATACCCAAGATAGTCTTGGTTTGTTGTTGTTTTTTTCAATTGTGAAAGTTTCAACTTCGTTTCAATTCATGCTGATGTAACTAGTACATATATTTCAGTATGACTTCTAAGTCTTTGGATATGAGTATTAAACTTGGATGTGAAAATTTGTCTGCCAAAAATTTGGCATATAAATCTTTTTTTGCCAGAGAATAACTTCAAAAACTAGGTAACGTTTTTGAATAAGTGTGCAAAATGGAAAGTAGAATATCTTGGTTTCAGTGTCAACTCCACACTCATATGACTCGGTTGGTTACAAACTGAAGTTTTGCCGGTTAAGGAAGAACTAGTTCGCAGTGCTCTTGCACAGCTTTGGGAGTTGACTTCTCTTCGGAGCTGTTTGCAAGCTTACTAATGTTGGTAGATTATTCAGGTTACCCAAAAAGCACACCACATTCTTCCTGTACAAGGTATGGGAAGAGGTATGCTGGATCTGACTTTGTAGTGATAGCATGTAGTTAGATGGTGAAGGAATGACTAGAATGAATAACTGAAGAGAGATGTAAATTAACATTTGAAGATACAGCTCCAAAACCGTGTGCAGGAGGCCTATGTAAGACTGCAAGGGTGTGACTGGGCACACTTCTAGAAGTTTTGGTACCATTTGTGATAGGATAATCAGGTTTTCTGAGTAGTTTAAAAGAATTATGGAGAGTGAACAATTTTGAGAAGTGCCCTTATTAGTTTAACAGCCTGTTCTTCTTCGACTGCTTGTTCAGGTCAGTTCCTATCAGGTGTGTGCGTGTGCAGATGCACGGTAGCTGGAAGATTTTTCCGTAGCAGTCTCTGTGGTGGTCGGCCTGGACGCCCCCTGGAGTCGTGCCTTCATGGCGCTCAATATAGAGCCCTGCTGACACCCCACCCCCAGTTCCTTCTTAATCTTCCGGCTGGCGTGCACACGTATGCGCACGCACCTGATTGGAATGGAGGTGAACAACACATCTTGAAGAACAACAGTTACGAGAAGGTGAGTAACCATTTTTTCTGCCCCTATTAGAATCTAGTTTTCATTTTGAAACATGCCTTCCCTAAAAAGGGAATTTGCTCTTGGGCTGTTTGTTGCAGTTATGTGCTAGTTACTTGTAAAATATTTAAACACTGGGCATCTCTTCCATTTGATTATGATAGAGGTGGGGAACCTCTTTTCTATCAGGGGCCATTGACCCACAGAAAAAAAAATCTACCGCGGACCCCACACAGCCCTGCGGCAGGGCGCGGAGCCTCGGGGCTTCCCCTAGGGTTGCCAGCTTTCTAATTGCACAAAACCAAACACCCACACCCCTTCCTTGAGGCCCCACCCCCACTCACTCCAGTCCCCCACCCTCATTCACTTTCACTGGGCTGAGGCAGAGGTTTGGGGTGTGGGTTCTGGCTGGGGGGTGCTGGCTCTGGGCTGGGGATGAGGGGCTTGGGGTGTAGGACGGGGCTCTGTGCTGGGGCCAAGGGGGTTGGAGCAGGCTCAGGGCTGGGCCAGAGGGTTGGGGTGCAGGAAGAGGTGTGGGATGCGGACTCCAGGACGGAGTGCGGCAAGGGGTTGGGATGCGGGGGGTGAGGGCTCCAGCTGGAGGTGCAGGCTCTGGGGTGGGGCCAGAAATGAGGGGTTCAAAGTGCGGGAGGTGGCGGGGGTTGGGATTCAGGTGGGGGTGCAGAGTCTGGGAGGGAGTTAGGGAGCAGGAGGGGGTTCCGACCTGCGACAGGGTTGGGGATGCGGGAGGGAGTTTGGGGTGCAGGCTCCGCCAGGTAGCTCCTGGTCGGCAGCGCAACAGGGCTAAGGCAGGCTTCCTGGTTCCGTGCAGCTCCTGGAAGCAGCCGGCATGTCCCACCCCTAGGCGGAGGCGTGACCAGATGGCTTTGCGCGGTGCATGCTGCCCACGCCCACAGGCACCGCTCCAACAGCTCCCATTGGTCGCAGTTCCCGGCGGAGCTTCCCTGATTGCCCCTGTGCCTGGGGGCCACAGGGACATGCCGGCTGCTTCTGGGAGTTGCACGGAGCCAGGGCACACAAGGAGCCTGCCTTAGCCTTGCTGCGCCACCAACTGGAATTTTAATGGCCGGGCAACTCTAGCTTCACTCCGCAGCGGGGTGAGTCCCCCGCGGGGCAGCACAGAGGCTCGGTGCTTCTGGCCTACGGTGCCGAGGCTTGCCACGGGCCAGATGAAATTAAGCACGGTGCTGAATCTGGCCCACAGGCCATAGGTTCCCCACCTCTGGGTTATGGGTTAAAAGTGGAGAAGCTTCTTGAGATGAGTGGCAGCTGATGTCCATTATAGACAGTAATTACTCTCTCATGTTAAATTATGGAAATGTGTTATGCACTCATCACCATATTTAATTATAATTAAATGAAAATGCATCTGTCACTATTTTCATGCTTATGAATTGCTAAAGTGGCTATTTCTACTTTTTAAGCTGGTATGTTCAACACTCCAGGAATGCAGAGTTTGTTGCAGCAGATAACAGAAAATCCACAGCTTATGCAGAACATGTTGTCTGCACCCTATATGAGAAGCATGATGCAGTCACTAAGCCAGAACCCTGATCTTGCAGCACAGGTAAATGCACCTATGTATTGTATGTACTGAATGAAAAGAGAGGTATTGCAAATTCATGCAATAACTATTGTCACAACAAAGGAATGATTTTATGTGCTGTCTAGCACCAACACCTACTAGCGTATTAAAATGCTTCTCCAGTTCCTCATTAGACATCTTGACAGTCAACTTCCTGAGTCTAACTGGAGGATAGAGCTAAACATTGAGCATTAACATTGCTCTGGGCAAGACTGCAGAGCAAACTCAAAAACACTTGGCTCAGAACCTTAGGTGAACCAAAGGGGCCAGGTAGTACTAAATAAGTATTAGATGGATAGAACAACCACTGGAGCTGAAAGTTTTTTGTGTACTTTAGTGTGAAACATTTTAAAAACCATAAACTTGTGACCTCATATAGGAACCACTTGAAAAGTTAGTCTCAAACTTGTAGGCAGGGCCACTGGTAAATGTAGCCCCAAACTGATTTTAGGAGTTAGTTGTTCAGGTTATCAGTGTGATCGTGACACTTGTATCTTCATTCTTCAGCTGTGGCCTTCCTGTACGGCTTCATTTGCTGTATAAGTGCAAATACTATTACAGCTTTATGAATGGTGGCATAGTCTTTTCCTAATATCACTTAAGGGTTCAGCTTCTAAAGAGTCAGCACAGGTTGGATGTGTGCCAAGTGGAATGGAAAGTATCACATGCTTTTTAAAAAAAACATAGGGGAGCGTCACTGGCTTTTTGGACACATTGAATGTGTGCATAGAGGAACAGTCTCAACTCTGTAGTATGAAGGTCTTATCCTGTTCATCCTCTTCAGTCTCATCTCAAGGGGATGTTTATGCAAATATCTGGCACTTCCATTTGGATTAAAAAAAACAAAGCACCCCACCTTGTTGTCCAGTGTTATATGACTGGATGTCTACTAGAAATCGGTTTTGGACAGTAAGTGAAGGAAGACAACATGGTCATTTAAAATATTTCTGTTTTTCAAAGAAGATCCTAATTGTCATGTAAAACAGTTAATTATAAATGTATTGAATATATAAGTTGCACTAAAGGGGGGGGCAGGGTGCAGCTTTATTTACTATATTTAGTATTTGCAGCTAAAATTGAACATTTGCCCCATAGATGATGCTGAATAATCCCTTATTTGCTGGAAATCCTCAGCTTCAGGAACAAATGAGACAACAACTCCCAACTTTCCTTCAACAAGTGAGTAAAAGAGAGGCTAACTGTTGTCAGTGAACATCTTGCATGTAGCCTTGCCAAATTGCAAACATATGGTCTTGCTTTGTTCTGGTTGAAAGAATAAAGGCCTGGTCTATGATTCTACTGCAAACACTAGCTTCAATTGTGGGTTTTAGTGATTTAAATACTTGTAAATGGCTAATTCATCAGATTCACCTCCTCATTCCCATTTGTCCCAAAGTTTCACACCTATTAGAAGATAGGTATTGCTTCTGCTGCTTTGTTTGGATGAATAATGACTTGTTTCCAGAGAACAGTTTTTCTACCTTTTCCTTGTGCTGCTTTGCAAATACTAAACCAAACCTCTTTTCCTCCACCACTAATAGGAGCTCTTGGTTTGCCTTTCCCTCCCTAAAAGGTAGAGGCCTGATAGTGTGCCCTGAATGAGTGTCCACTGTGTCTGTGTATGCAGCCATAAACCATGACGCATATTGTTGAGAACTGCACAATGACTCGGCTTCCTGGAGGTCTTCGTGCCTTGAACATGGTTGATAAGAACGCTCTGGCTTGGCTTGACCAGATTGCATACATCAAATAAAATAACCTTACTTTTATCTGGATTGAGCTTTAGCCACCTCACTCTCATCCATTTTTTCAGTCTCCGCAGAGGCTGGGTCAGGTATTCAAACCACTGACTGAGTAGGGTGAGATGGAGATGCAGAGCTGAAAACACTGCAGTCCATACCTCTGCACTAATCCTCTAGGTGAGGGAAGGTGAGACAGAATCCCATGGCAATTGTTGTGACTGTGTCTTTTGGGATAATGAGCAATTGCATAGTACTACTCTGTGGGAGTGCTCGGCAAGGAAGAACGCACACAGCTGTGTGCAACCCTATCCACCCTTGGGAGAGATCTTCACCCATCAGTATACTTTCTGATCTATACTCAGGTCTGTACCAGATTAACAGGAGTAAGGAAATCCTAAGACATCTAGTGCTCTGAATTGTCAGTCGTTTCTATTATAACAAAACTCAGACTGTTGGACACTAGATGATAGACAAGTTGTCAACATTGTTTTGCTAAGCAAAGAGTGCATAGCAGCTTACTTTACAGAAGTTGGCACGGGTTCTTCCTCTGAGACACTGAAAAATTTCACCAGCTGTGAATCTAGCTCTTTTCCTCTGGTCTTCCCTAACCTATCTAAAAGACATATTGTGGGCATGAAGGGCCCACAACACTTCTAATATCTCACTGAGCGCTACTGGCCTAAACTTTAACCAGAGAAGATTTAGAATTTTTCTCCAGATCCTGTTCTGCATTTGTGGAAGCTGACAACTTGGCCTGATCCATGCAAGGATCCTAGAGCCCAGACTCCAGCCTGAGCCCAAACATCTACACTGCAATTTTATAGCCCCACAGCCCGAGCCCTGTGAGCCTGAGTCAGCTGCCATGGGTGTTTTTATTGTAGCGTAGGCATAGCCTAAGGGAAAAACTGGAAAACAGGGTGGTTAGGAGCCTAACATGGTAGGATTTTTATCCTATACTAAATCACCCAATTAGAATGGTTGTTAGAGGAGCAGCCACTGCTGGTAGGGCCTTCTTGAAACACTTTGCTTTTGTTGGTCTTCAAGTGTGAACCTTGAAACTAGACCCCTTTCCCTAAGAGGAAAGGAGTGCCACAATCTCAAAACACAGAAGGAAATAGTTAGTTCTTAGCATGTCGTAATTTTCAGCCACTTCCTTTTGAAGCGCAGTGTTTGTCAAAAATCCGGTAGCGGTCCATTGTAACATTAAAGACAAGATGATAAATAGCACAACCAACTACTAAGCCAGCCTCATTTTAGGATCCATTAGGTGATCCTCCAAATGGTAAATGAGTACGCTGTCTTTGTTGTAACCCCCAAGAGTTTGAATCTTAGACAAAGATTGTTACTCAAAAGTCACTGCAAGATTTCACCTTTTGTTTATACAGTTGTTCTAATAAAAGATGGGCTGAAGCCATAAACTTCAGTTTCATATTTGAAACTTCGCAGTGTCTAGAGATTTTCAGATCTCAGGATTTGGCTTGTGCTCATCAATAGTTGTGAAAGCTACAGGTTCAGATGTTCCAGCAGGTGAAGAGGAACTTGATCCAGCCATCTTAAGTGTATACATCAGACTGTATGCATCATCTAGATAGCATTCATGTACATAAGTAGGCTGATATGGCACTATTGATAATGCAGAGAGGGGGTAGCGGGCATACACTTGCAAAGTCTGAACTTAATAGCAGTCCTGTTCTGAAGTTCAGATATGTCAGATGATCCATTTCACTGGAAGAATAGTGAGAAACAGTGTTTCTGGAGTACTGCTTGTCACAATTCAGGCCAATTGCACCCTTATCCTCCTCCCCGCATCCTCTGGTGATCTAGGCTCCCAGCTCCTCAGCTGTCAACTCTCTTAGGCAGAGATCCACATCTCTCTTCCTCCTGTCCTGGGATGTTACAGCTGCTCAGCTCCCTAATTTACACTGTGATATTTCTAGCAAGCCAGACTGCCTAAAGCCAGCATCTGTGCTTTGCTTTCTTTCCAAAAGCTATGCCCAATATACTGCCTGCTGTTATAAGGAAGCACATTTATTCTTAAGCTAAAAGCATTGCAGAATTTTTTTTAAAAACAATAGAAGGACCGACATGCATGCTAAAGAGTCACCAGAGATCACTCCAGCTCCAACTTCGGGCTCTGGTAGGTGTCAGTCCTTCAAAACCCACATCTGGGTTTTCCTCTGGTTACAAGTTTATAACTCTCTCAGAACTAAGACTTGGCAGGTCATCTTGTTCCTATACAGCTCAGGCCATTAGCCTCCAGGACCAGATAGTCAGAAGACAATCACCCTCTCTTCGGGGTGTAGCTTAAAAAAGCTGGGTTTTGCATCACCGGAAGTGAGTAATTTGCATTAACGTTTCTCTAGGTAATTCAGTTCACCCTTATTGGACCAGAAAATCCATTTTTGTCTGGCATAATCTCAGTATAGTCCTTTGAACTCCCAGGTCTTACATCATATCCCCCCAAGAGGTTACCTGCAGTCCTCGCCCACAATAATATGTAAGCTTTGCATTTAATACAGTAACATTTTTTTGAGGATATTGCTTTATCTGTCACTCTTCCCCATACTTAAAAGGTCTTGGTGGAGCTGTTACTGCAAAAGAGGGAACCATCACAAGAAGGGTGCAGAGAGGTATTAGAATAAAAAGATGAGCAATAGCAGGTGTTGAGGGGGTGGGTTCACTACAAAAAACAACCAGTGATGAAGATTAACTCTGTACATGTTTCATTTATATAACGAGTTTTTCCTTTTCTTAGATGCAGAACCCGGACACACTGTCGGCAATGTCAAACCCTAGAGCAATGCAAGCTTTACTACAAATTCAACAGGGCTTGCAGACACTAGCAACAGAAGCACCAGGGCTTATACCAGGGTAAGAGTTGGCCCAACAAACTTGTACATTTCTTTATTTATTTATTTTAAATCTATTTGGTTTATTTGTCAGCTTTTTGACTTGCTTCTTTAAATTTAGAAGCTTGTCTAGTTGCACAAGTTGTTCCACACAAACACCATCTTCAGTTTACTAAAATCTTCATTTTCGGCATCTCCTACTTTTTTTCCGTTAAAAAACGTTAAAATGCTAATGTTATAATTAGGGCCCTACCAAATTCACGCCATGAAAAACGCATCACGGACCATAAAATCTGGTCTTTTGTGTGCTTTTACCCTATACTATACAGATTGAACGGAGGAGACTAGTGTTTCTCAAGTTGGGGGTTCTGACCCAAAAGGGAGTTGCAGTGGGAGTTGCAAGGTTATTTTAGGGGGGGCTGCGATATTGCCACCCTTACTTCTGCGCTGCCTTCAGAGCTGAGTGGCTGGAAAGTGGTGGTTGCTGACTGAGGGCCCAGCTCTGCATGCAGCAGTGCAGAAGTAAGGGTGGCAATACCATAGTGTGCCATCATTACTTCTATGCTGCCGCTGCTGACAGCTCTGCCTTCAGAGCTGGGCTCCTGGCCAGCAGCTGCTGCTCTCCAGCTCTGAAGGCAGCACCGCCACCAGTAGCAGTGCAGACGTAAGGCTAGCAGTACCACAACCCCTCCCCCACAATAACCTTGTGACCCCCCCCAACTCCTTTTTGGGTCAGGACCCCTACAATTACAACATAGTGGAATTTCAAAGTTAAATAGCTGAAATTATGAAATTTACAATTTTTAAAATCCTATGACCATGAAATTGACCAAACTGGACCATGAACTTGGTAAGGCCCTATTTATAATGGATCTTACTGTGTTCGGATGCTTTATTTACATTAAATATACATTCTCCATTCCCACTGATATCCACAGAATTCCAGTGAGACAGTTGGTGGGGAGAGGAGTAACAGTATATGATGATCAACTTTAATACAAAAATAAATGTTAACATTGCTGTTCCTCATCTCTGCAGATTTAATCCTGGTGTAGGGGGATTAGGAAGCACTGGAGGTCCTACAGGCACAACTGTACCTAGCTCCATCCCCAGTGAAAATACAAGTCCAGCCTCAGGAGTTGCTGAACCTGGTCACCAACAGTTTGTTCAGCAAATGTTGCAGGCACTTGCTGGTGCAAATGCTCAGGTAAGGTAGCAGATGGCTAAATCCTAGAACTTTAATATGTAGCTAATATTTGATTTATCAATGTAGGCTGAAAGGGGCAGTTAGGAGAAAGTACTTGGAAAAACACATGCTTAATACTGCTGGCTCATGGATGGATGAGTGGACCAGGCTAGAAAACTGTTACTTTCCCAGATGTGAAAATAAATGCTGGAAAAATTAAAATTTTAATACTTCTGTCCTGGGGACCATTAGCCCTTGAGTTGTTCACGTGCCCAGAGAAATGCACAGATTCAGTGTTAATGTTAAGCCTTTCACTTATGCCTCTGCCCAGTCAGGTTTTGGTTTGTTTGTTTTTTTAAGCTATTTCAATTCTGTGTAGGTGTCATTTGTATTGTATTGGTCTGAAAGACTGAGATGGTGGTAGAAGTTTCTCACAATTTGCAAAATGTCCTTAGTAGTACAAAGAGCAAACTTAGACTGACAAAAGCTATAAAATTCTTAATTTGGGTACTGCTTTTATTGCAAACTTGAAATGAACTAGATTTCAAAAAGCAAGTTGTTGTTGTTTCAGGTACTGCAATAGCTCCTAAGATTTCTGCTCATTCTTGTTTGTACAGTAACATTTTATCTTCAAAATATTTGTCAGCTTAATTGCTATATCGGGAACCTATACAGACAGAGGACACTCACTATAGATAACATTCTGCAAAATGCACACAAACTAGAAATCAGAGCAAAATGTTTTTGCTTAATCTGTTAAACTGAAAGTTCCAAGTAAGAAATAGTAAATAGATTAAAAATGTTGGATAAGAGAATTTTGTGTCCATTTAATTTTCCCTTACTACTTAGGTAATGTAGGGAGTTCAGAACAGCCATACCATCTGTGCTGTAATACTTGAACATGGGCTTAATAGCTCGAATCAAGATAGAATAGCAGCCTTAACGATGAACAAAACAAGGGTTTTTTTTTGTATTTTTATGGGCTGGTCACTAACTGTGTTCACTCTTTAAAACCAAATATTTGAAAAACAGTTTTTCCTTTGTTGCTTATCTGCCATAACTGGAGTTAAAGAACTCTTGGAATGACAACTTCTGGAAACAGCAAGAAGTGTAGTTTCTTTGGCCTTGTTGGTTTAAAATACCCATGTTAAACATATTGTTACTTACAACTAAAATGGTTTCAAAGAATCCTTCTAACTATCAGAAGTTTGTAAGGGCTCAATCCTGTGCCATCTTAGTCAGTAGGAGTTCTGCACTAATAGCGTGGGAGCAGGATCAGACCATAAAAGCACAGCTGTTCAGTTTCCCATTTGGAAGTTCTAACTGTTATAAAACTTTTGCAAACTTCAAATACTTCTTTACCTTTTTAAAAGCGTTTAGAAATTATAAAGGTGATATGCCAATAACAGGAATAACTTTACTGTGCCTCATCACATTCAGTAACCAACAATGAGTTTATTAAAAATCTCTGAAGAATAGCATCATTGGATTTAACTCTTCATTTCACTTACAAGAACAATCTATTAATGACACTTTGAAGGAACTATTTTAAGGAAATGATTCTTAGATTATCTTGCTTTGCTCACTTACATCACATCGAACATGCAGCACTTCCTGTAGTCAGTTAAAAAACAATCAACTTTTGGTACAGGTGTTCTTAAAACAGTCAGCAGACTGTCCTCGGAGAAGGATGCTATTCAGTTGCAGTTGTTCAAGCACTTCAATTTTGCTCTCTAGTTTTGGAGACTTAAAGGAAACTTTAGTTGCAGAAATACACCAAGACAAAGTATGGAATAGAATCAAATGTATTTTAAATCATCTAGTACAATTTCTTCACAGTATTTGTATTAAGCCTGTGTCTACAGCTTGAAATAAATTGTCCTCTTTTTAGCAGTTACAAAATCCAGAAGTCAGATTTCAGCAACAACTGGAGCAGCTCAGTGCAATGGGATTTTTGAACCGTGAAGCAAATTTACAAGCTCTAATAGCAACAGGAGGAGATATCAATGCAGCTATTGAAAGGCTACTGGGCTCCCAACCATCATAGCAACATTTCTTTAACTTGAAAAATGTAATTTATTTTTGATAACAGCTCTTAAATCTTTAAAATACTTGCTTTATTTCATTCTGACTCTTGGGATTGTCTTGTTATAACTAAACCCAGTCTGATGCATTTTAAGGTGGAGTGCAGTAGTTTTCTTTGAACAGTGGGAATCAATGCTTTTTCATTCACAGTTGTTGCATGCATCAAACACTTCTTTGTTCAGCATTTATTGTGATTTTGTTGAAACAAGTATCATCTTTCACAGTTGAATGAACAGGTTTTGTCAGACCTACAATTGTCCAATTTATTTACTACTTAAACATTAGCTTTGGGTAGTAATTTATGTAGATTACAAATTATTAAAAAGGAAACAAATTAAATGAAGCTATAATTTGTGGATACCAATACTGCTTTTTGTGACTTCAGCATGTATTTTTTGCTAGCAAAATGCTGTAAGATTTATACCATTTGATTTATCTATCATTTTTGCTTTTATTTGTATAAAATATACACACAATATAAATGTTGGAAACCGCTCACATCTAGGAATTTGCACATTGCAATAGAATGAATCTATGTAACCAAAAAAATCCAGAACAAATGAAATTGACACATTTCTAGCGCAGAAACTTTGAGGATCTTTGGTAAACATCAGCAGAAGCGTTTAGGCAAATTCATTTGAAATATGCTAGAATTATTGATCTAATTATCTCTAAGTCTACATCTAACTGTACAGAAAGCTGCATTGTAACATTGTCTCAGTATTCACATGGATTGACTGTAAATTATCTTAATCTTTTGGCAGATTGAAGGAGCACTACTGTATGCTCCAACACTGCTTCTAAGGCTTTTTGGCTTCTCTCATTGAGATTCTAACATGCATTATGATTTGTAATTGGAAGAATTACTTTCACTGGCAGTGTCATGTGATATTCTAATTACTTTTAACCACCATGTAAAAATACTGTATATCTTTTGAGTTTTTATTGGTAGTTATTTCTCTTGTGCACAGGTAATAAATGAATTAAAAATTCTTTGAGCAATTTGTCAAGTGTTTTTGCACAATTGCTGATTCTTAAACTTTCAGAAAAGTGAAACATCTTGATGTTTGACTTTTAAGGGAGACTTTTGGAGCACCATACACATTTTTATCTTTTGACCGGGATTAATAAACAATGTTTGGATTATAAAGGCGAGAGGGAAAGTAAGGGAAATCAAAAATATGAGGACTACCCTTACAGTAGGTAAAATGTAACAATGGATGAGATAAAGCATACTCGACTGTTTATATCCTGTTTAGCAAACTGGCTCTGGTTTGGATGATACATCCCTTCTGGGGCCTGTTATGTCAAGTTTACATGTTAGTAGTTGAAGATTATTCACTTGTACTATTTATACTTTAATCTCAGCATTATATTTTATCAAATCATGTAAACAATCACTTCCTTTGGTGTTGAGTATAAATGTGATTTACTTTAAAAGGTGATGGGAAACAGGTTAAACTTATCCTTCCATACGTAGTGCATAGATTCAAACAAAGTTCACCAAGTTAGACGAACCAAAAGAATTTTGAAATATGAACAACAAAATGAGATTAGGTACTCTGTATTTAAATCACTTACATTGGTTATAAAACTGAAATCTAACGTCTGTTAGCGCAAATCTCAAGAGAATGTGATGCTCTGACTTGCACCTTTCCTGGATGGTAAACATTTTAGCTGAACTTTGGCACTAATAAGTAAATTGCTCAATTACAGTTGATGCACAGTGCTGGGAAAAGCTCAAGAAAACCTCTTTGCTCACAACATCTGCTCAATGTGCAGTGAGAATAAAAAAAAATGAACAGTGTTAGGAACCATTAGGAAAGGGTGGATAATAAAACAATTATTATAAATGCCACTATATAAATGCATGGTACACCTACACCTTGAATACTGCGTGCAGTTCTAGTTTTCCTATCTCAAAGATGCATTAGAATTGGAAAAGCAACAAAAATGATTATGCAACAACTTCCATATGAGGAGAGATTAACAAGACTGAGACTGTTCATCTTAGACGATGGACAACTAAGGGGTTTTCTTCCCATTCCCAAAGATTCAGATTAAGGTATCTTCAACTTAAATCTTTTACTCAATCTGTGGAAAAGGCATCTCTTCAGGTGCAATTCAGAGGGAGTTAGTGAAGATATAGCAAGTTGCCTATATATAACCACCCCACTTTGTCTGTTACTCTTAGCCAAGAGTTTCAAGTGACTAGTGATTCTGGACTTTCATTCCTTGATTTCAGTGGTCTTAAAAAAAAAAAAAGTAAAAAGTAGGTAGTTCAGAGGACTTGAACTGAGAGCTGTTAAAATATCTCTAGTCTATTTTAATAAAATTTTAATTAAAAAAAAAATCGAATTAAAAAGTAGGAGAGAGGAAAATGAACTCTGTTCCAAAGCCTCAAATTCACTGAAAGAAGTATAAAGCATTAAGTTCAAATTGTATGAGCTCTCCTTGGAGGTCACAATGTGCTTCTTGAGTAAAGTTGTTTCTTGTTTTGCATAATTACAGTTAACCTAATTCTGCCTTCATTTAAATTCTGCCTTCATTCCTATAAAAGGAATAATGTTTACAAGGAACTGAGTTTTTTATTTAGTTGGGGATTGGTCCTGCTTTGAGCAGGGGGTTGGACTAGATGACCTCCTGAGGTCCCTTCCAACCCTGATATTCTATGATTCTATGAAATATATAGGTTTTAAGTTATGGCTGGATCATGATTTCTTTATAACCTACCAAGGGGACTCTTGCTTCTGCTTCAAATTCTCTTGGGATGGTGTCCCTAGCCTCTGTTTGCCTGACACTGGGGATGGATCACTTGATGATTATCTGTTCTGTTCATTCCTTCTGGGGCAGCTGGCATTGGCCACTGTCAGAAGACAGGATACTTGGCTAGATGGACCTTTGGTCTGACCCAGTATGGCCATTCTTATGTTTAAAATGATGAGGTTGAAGCTGGCAGGCTCAAGGATATACCTTGAAAGCTGGGCCAAGTTTGATATTTGAGGCATAAATGAAAATGTATATCAAAAACTCAAGTCCTAGTAGTCTCCTGCTCACGAACAGTGCTCTAACACTTGATCATTTTGTACATGTGTTGGAGGGAGCCTAGTTTTGTAAGAAAACATGCCAACTTCAAATGTGTTTAGAGTAGGCACAGTGAATAATGCACAAAGCCTCACAGTCATGGGGGACTGAACCTGTCCCATGCCATTTGTAAACTGAACCTATTGCTTCAAAGTTGCTAGTTCAAATTCAATCCATGTCAGTGGTGTCTGAAAGTTATTTGCTATTGGCTGGCTGCTGACTTTGTATGTAAAGTGATCTGGCGATCTCAATTCAGTTTCTAGTGAACAGGTTCCCACACAATAAAACTACCCCCACGCTTGGCTGTTTTGGAGAAGCCAAGCACTGAAAATCATGGAGACTGGCCTGATTCCTTCCCCTTGGAGATGCTCCCTGCAAGTCAAGGCTGCTTTATAATGAGGCAGTTGTGAAGCATTTTTCTGTAAATTTCAATCATCAATGGAAATATTTTCCTTTGGTTGGCACATGTATATACAGTGAAATCAAAATTTACCAACATTTTTGAATAAAAATCAAATCCTTCAAACCCTACATATAACATGGGTTCGTTTTAAAAACAAAAACAACAAAACTCTTGAGTGCGACCAAACCAAGGATTGAATTTGTGCAGACTAATCACAGAGATGGATCTATATTTAAATATCCTGGCTAATTCAGGCCCTGATCCAACAAGCAAATATACATGTAGTCCTATGAACTCAATAGAATTAGTTGTGTAAAGTAATGCAAATGTTCCAGGAGTGGCACTATAAGCTCTGACTTCTAAACTGGGGGAAGTATAAAGAGTAACTAAACATTAATAGATTAAAGTAAATTCTTACATCTTTCAGTTTTAACAGTGTAAGGTGTTGTCTAATATTGGTAACTCGGTTTCAAATAAAAATCTTTTAATCTCACAGCATTCCTTTAATAGAGGCAAGGGCGCTTTTGCGTAATGTATATATTGCTTAGCATAGGTTTTCTCAAATTATACAGCCAGACTGCACTGATGGGCCTGAGATTCTTATCTTCTTTTAAAATGAAAAATTTCTTGTCAGGTTCCCTGCATGCATTCCTCTAATCTTGGTGGGATCTCACAATGCTGGAGGGCTGCGGAGACTCCTTATAGCCCCTGTGATATAGTCTGTAGCAGGGTGCAATTGGGATCTGAGCTCCTTTGCTTGTAAAAGGGGGCATGATGGTAAAAAGTTTGAGAAACGCTGACTTAGAACATCAACATCATGTTTAAGGCTGGATCTGTCTTGGTGAAATCATGTTTTGAAAGATAAATGTTTTCTGTTCGTATTATTTATAAACACAAATATGGATGAGTCGCTAATGAAAAAGTCCATTATGCGCTGCTATTCCATAAGAGAGAAGGCTAGCTGTAGTTGCCCATCACATTTTCCAGACACAGCTAGTTAATGGTGAGTAAGGGGACCAGTCTTTGTGTAGTTAAAAAGAGGTAACCTAGCAGGGAACCCATGAACTAAGTGCACTCCTCTTTGCTTTTGCAGATATAAACCCCATTCCCTGCTCAGGTAATTTCCTCCATTATTAGCAGGGGCAGTAGCACCTGAAAACTAGCTTCTCTGCCTTCAGATAATAGCCTGAAGATGATGGGGGGGGGGGGAGGGGGGGAAACGGGACAGATTGTCTTTCCTAGGAATCCTTTAGAGGAAAAAGAGTAGACCTGATCTCCTGAAATAAATGGAAAGCTGGTGGGTAGGAGGAATTTAGGGGGAAAGCACTCAAAGGAAAATGCCTTGGCACTGAGCTCCCTCCCCCTCTTCCTTCAGAGAGTGACAGCTTGCTGCTTGTCTCACCATTCCTGTTGCTGCTCATTGCTATACTGGTGGGAGGGTAGCCTGCTGTCCGCTCTCCAGACCTGTCGGTCACCTTGTCTGCGGCAATGGGACAGACTCCTCCCTGCTCCTCCTGTTATGATAGACAGATGCTGCTGGCTCCCATTCCTGCTGCTGATGCTACAAACGACCTAAGCATGTTTTTAAAGATCTGGCCAAGACCGATCCTTTACTGTGAACCTCACTTCTCTGAAGAGTGAGGCTGATGGACACAGCAACCCTACAAGGTAATGTAACTAGTTTGAGGTCTAGGTACAAACTGGGAATTGCTGGCCATTGTGGGGGTTGGTATAATTGAGCCAATGAGGTATCTTGTTCTTCTTTAAGTATGTAGCTGGGAATTTACATGACCTTCAGCTTGGAACAAATAGGCCATCAGAGAGCTACAGTAGCAGAATCTCCACTTGTCAGTTACAACGGTTATTGCAGAATTATTTACATAGCTGGGTTTGATGTTTTTCCTCTTGGTAGCTGTTTGAACTGGAAACAGAAGTCTGGTTTGCTTTAATCTGAAGTAATGTGACACAGATAAATCAGTGGGGGAGGGATTATCCCTACTCCCCTCAGGCAAGTGAGAAACCTGTTTATTGCTTACAGAAACTAAATCCTAACAATCGAAGAAGGCTAATTTTAAATTGGGGGTGGGGGGTGTTACTCACACACTCTCGGGCACCTATCTTTACCCAGTTCCTAGGGCTCCGGGGGAAAGGCACCTACCCGTACCCAGTTTCTAGGGCTCAGAGCGTAATCTTCTGCAGGTTTGCTGGGTCTTTTATTAGTGAAAGAGCCTGACACAGTAATATCCTTAACCTCTATTTATTAACAGTCACCAAAACAGAATGCACATGCTAAGCATACAATGCTCACCACTCCCAATAAGACAGATGAACTTTTCCTGGTGACCAGTCAGGATCAGGTCATCTGGGACTCCAGCTTCTGCCCGGTGTGATTGGCTGGGTGTTGAGGTCTGGCAGCTCTGATCTTGGGGCTGTGTCCTGCAGTTGGTTCCAAGGAACTTCCTTTTGGACCCCAGTTTATATAGTGAAACTTGAGTCCTGCTTAGCTGTACCTTAACCAATCATTTTGCTAAAATTTTAATAAACAATTCTCTAACCAGTCCTAACATATTGTAAAACAATTCTTTACCCAATCATACCCCACCACCTTAGTTGATTTAAATCTTACAAAATTAGTTATGCAACAGACAGAAACAATCAAAGAACCAGACAGAGACGATACAGATAAACAAGAGAGAGGTAGGGACCATAAAGGTAAAACAATAAAGAAGTAGAGATTTCACACCCAAACTGTTGATAAGTGATTCCTTGCCAGACAGAATGCCATCAAATAAAGTTTTCTTTAACCATCTTAAGAGATTCCTTGCTTATTTGGTGATGGTGGATTTTATTAGGAGGCACACCTTCGTACCAGCCCAATATTACATCGCTTTGATAGGTTGATGTGAGTTTCTGCTTCCTGGTTAATGGCTGCTGCTCTCCTAATATGGCTGCAGAAAAAAGGCCTCAGACCGTACAAGGGAGTTGAGCTGGATTGTAATTAAAAAGAAAAATTTGTTTTAATAATAAAGAGAGCTGTTCAGACCTTCAAATATGGGTGCCTAAATATAGTTTTAAATAAAAGAGGACCGATTTTCAAAGGTGCTGAGTGGAATTTGTGGGTGCTTAGCACTTCTGGAAATCAGGCCACTTATATATAGGTGCCTATGTAGATGCTTAGGTACTTTAGGTACTCATTTAAAAATCTTAGCCCTTCCCACCCAAAACTATATTGGCTGAGGGACAATTTTGACTCTTGGTCATATATGACCTGAGGTGATGTAACTGTTTTCCAAGCAGTATGTTAGATACATGTCCTGAATTGTGTGTTTGAGGGTTTTTTGGGCCCACACTTGATAAAATCCAAGCACAACTTCAACACTGTGCAGTAGGTAGAGCTGCACTGGGTACATGTATTGGGAGAACTGTGACTTTATTAAATGTAGATCTGACCTAGTGGATTCACCACAAGAGGGTGCCATTTACCTGAATTTAATATTGGCATGAACCAGACTCTAGGTCTGAACAATACCTGAAACTGTGTGTGTTGGGAATGTTGCATTTGGCCATTTCAATGTGATGCACTGAACCATAATCTTATAAATTGGGGCCCACTTCTAATTTGTTTCTCTTATAACACATAAGAAGGATATGCAAAAAGTAATCTGAAATCAATTGGCTATTAGTCCAGGACTCTTTCACACTGAAGCAAACAGTTTGGATACAGATTTTGGATTAAATAGGTTTATGGGCATTTTATACAAGACAGTAGTACAGAAAGAAATGGATCAATCTTTTGCAGTTTGTTTTTTGGCTGTGTCACTTGTAGGGAAAATACCTACCAGATAGTTATCAGTTTTTGATTTGTCTGGTATAGCGGAGTTTCTTTATCACAGCTGTTCCCAAAGCTCATTCATAGCATTGTGCCAAGGAGGGAGTGTTGGTATTTCTTTGGGGTACCACAAGAGCAAGTCTAACTTCTACTAGAAAAAGCTATAAACACATTTTTAACTGATAACCCAGCTAATGATTCAATTAATTTCCCCAAAGATGTCTTTGAACACCACCATCCTTGCCTGAAAAGGAGTGAGCTAGTCGGATTAATCAAGGTCATAAGTTGGGATGAGAGTACTGATGGGGATAATATATACATAGCAATATATCAGAAAGGTTCTTCACAATATTACTTCTCTTGAAGAGCATCTCTCATAGAAAATGTATCCTACGATGACTTACAAGGTTAAAACAAAGAGGTAGATACCAGGGAGGAGGGCTAGTTTCAGGTAATATGGGCAGTCCAGACCAATATTCACTGAGCTATGGTTAAAGGGTATTCTAAACATGTTTTGATACATATATACACACCAAAAAAAATAAAAAATAAACATGCTTTCATATTCTTTAAATTCTGTGAATTATGTACGCAACTTTTTATGCAAAAATTTCTAAGTACAGAATTAACATGTGAAAGTGGACTTTATATTTATTTTTTTTATCTTATTGTTGTAATGAGGGTTTTTGTTGTTGTTTAATAGACAGGCCAGAATATACTGGATTGAGAGTAGTGATTGTATGTAGCTGTCCTAGGCCCTTATCCTGCAAACACATATGTATGAGCATATCTTGACACAGGAGGAGTCCATTGTCTCTGCTAAGACTACTCAAGGCCATAGTTGTATAGTCTTAACTTTAATAAGGACTTTAACACCTACAAAGCATTGTAAATTGAAGAGAAAGTAAACAAGTTTTTAAGAACAGTTACATCTGAATTTAAGTACTCTAATAGGGAGCGCGGCCTTTGGTGTGTACATTTTTAAATGACTGTAACAAAGAACCTTAATTCACTGGCTCAGTTTGGGAGGGACACTGAAAATAATATGCTGAATTGCTTGTATGTATCTGTGAAATCCAAAGACTGTGTGTCTGTGGGGAGCAATGTGCAAGCCACCTACTTGAAGTGGGATTCTCCCTTATTAGTAGAGTGACCAGATGTCCCAATTTTATAGGGACAGTCCCGATTTGGGGGGCTTTTTCTTGTATAGGCTCCTATTACCCCCCACCCCCTGTCCCGATTTTTTACACTTGCTGTCTGGTCACCCTACTTATTAGGGGAGTTTTGCCTTTGCTCTTCCTCACACCAGCTCTGAATTTTTATTACAGCAAAAGTCATGCTTTGTGATACAGCTTGAGCACTAGAGGCTAGAGTGAGGCTATTGCGGTAGCAGGTGAAGGGTGCCAGAAAAAGTCACGCTGAACAGCTGCCTGCCAGTCAAGCTGAAAGGAGAGAACATCCATCCGTTCTGAACTGATGAACCCAGAGGTACATAAATCGTACCTCATTGGCTGAGTCATTCTCTCTCCTGTTTCATTGTGTGTATATTTTGCATATGAAAGACTAAATCACAGTCAATACAGTGCTACTTAGTTTATTGTTAAAGATTGGGGTAGAATAATACTTTGCAGTTACATAGATCTCTCCCTCCCACAGGAGTTCACTGTGTTTAAGTCAGAATCAATGAGATCTCACAACACCCATGTGAGGTCAGCAAGTATTTTCACAGATGTGGACACGGACACAGAGGTTGTAACTTGTTCCAGATCAGGCATGGAGCTAATGGTGGAGTCAGGACCTGAACCCTGCTGTCCCAGCTCCTGTCCCTCTGCCCTATCAGAGAACTCTGCCTTCTCTTAAAAGGATGTTCACCTTTCAAGTGTCCATTCAACACTTAAATGTCAGTAGTGATGACTGGGGCCAATTTCTGTGTTTTGGCAGGAAAAAAAGTGAAAGCTACATTTGTTGAGATTTTCATGTTCTGTCTAAATCCCTAGGGTGGGATTGTCAGAAACACTCTGTGTTGACCTACCCGTTTGTATCAAAGCCAATGGGAGTTTCACCTGTGATTTAAATGGACGAAGAGGTAGGCAAATGCCATTCACTTCTGAAAATTGTATCTCCAGGTTTGAACAGGTCTTAATGAAAACATCAGTAATAGTAGTGTCCCAGTCCCTTTAAAGTATGTCAAGCCAATGAAGTTAATATTGCAAACCGTGCTGGTTAACTTGAGAAAGCAACTAAAATGCTGTTCCACAAATATGACATGGTTAGAAGAATTAATGTGCATCTAATTCAGAAACTACTCTGGAAAAGCATTTCTCTAAGTGAAGAGATTTCTCAATTTCAGACACTATTTCAGAAACAGACTTTTCCAGACTCACAGTGATAAAGTTTTCTGGTGCTGATGGAGGCTCCAGTGTATCAAACTGAGACTGTAGAAGTTCGGGTGCCATAAAGTGTCCTCTCCTCTTCTCCAGTCGGCTGGCAATGAGTTCCATAGATCCATCCAAATGGATAAAAAGGACCTTCCCTGTGGCAGAGTCTAGCTGATCACTTTTAGAATACACAGCATCCTCTCCACTTACTAATATGCGTCTATACATTTTCTTCAGAGCTGAACAGGCCAGAATCACACTTTGTCCAGCTGACTCTTCTCTATCAAGAGAAGAAAATGTCAGTAGCAATAACTTAATGATATCATGCCCATATTTGGTGTATTCAAACACTGACTGATTGTTCTCAATAGATGGGAAGGTGGACAACCCAACATGGCCTCACAAAAAAGAGGTGTAAGGATTTTTTCCTCATTTTAATGGGACTCCGATGTCAAATCTCTAACACAGGTAAGTACGCTTGCTTTTTAAAGATATAATTTCACCCAGTGTCCCTTTAACATCTCCATCTACTGGAGCCTTCATAATGGCCACCATCTTCCCAAATGTGGACGCGTAATTAGATTCCAAAGAGCCATCAGCATTGCTCCTTAATTGCTGAGAAGGATGGTTGTTGGACAGCATGAGGCACTCACCTGCCCCACCTAAAAGCTGACTATAAGGGTCTGTCTAGAGTACAGTTCTATCCTGAACAATACACACACTTCTTAACCGGTTCCACTTTCAGTTTTTGAAGATTTTGAACTAAATTGTTTGGATTAGCCATACTACTGTTAACATTAATGGGAACTCTGTATATATCCTGACCCTTTTAATAGTTACTCTGGAGGGTTGGATTTAGTGAAATTAACATAAATACACTTGAGTAATTCTTTAATTTACTCTGGCAAGAGTCCTTTAAAGCTTCAGGTAACCACACAGCATTGGTGTTTGTTACACTGGAAATCCCAAATCCTGCCTTCCAGTTAGTTTTGGCATTAGACACCGTAAATGAACATACAGGTTTGATGACTGAGATGTGCAAAATAAAAAAATAAACTCATATTCTGCAGTCAAATTGTGAACACATTATATGTAGTAGTAAACTAATGTTACTGCCCTCTATTATACATGGGCAGTTCTGTTACTTAAATTCCATAGGCAAAGAGCCAGTTTGGACCCTGTTACTTGCAGGGTGCAGTAAGAGTCATTGACTCTTGATTAAGGCAGGGCTAGCCCTTTCAAGGTTATTCCATTATTTCTGAATTCCATGTTCTCCCTGACCCTTCTTAAAAGAAACTACATCCCTTGCTTAATCCAGGGAGCTCAGCAGCCTCCCGCCCCTCTGAGAAGCAGCACATATGTGGAATGTGAAAGCTCCTTTTTCCTGTCTCTGTCACATCCAGATACTTAAATGAATCATCAGGATGGAGAATATATTGAGTACACAACTGACAAGCAGAGAAGGGTAAATGCTGCAAAACCCAAATCCAGATTTTGGTTCAGACCTATCTTTACTGATGAGGACCATCAACTTGTTACTGTAATGTATGTAATTGTCTGTGGGGAAAGAGGAGGGTGATTGCCATTGTGAATAAACCCATGCAAATTTAAAATGTAGAAATTTAAAGTTCCAGGTTTGACTCTTCTCTCCCCCAAGCCTCATAAAATTACTTTTGCATTATTTTTCCCATTTTTTTAACAGATCTAAATATTTGAGCTAGGATCACTATTTAGGAAGTGCACATCCGGCAAAGTTCAATGCCAAGTGAGTCAACTGGAGTAAGTGACTAAGGATAAAATTTTCTAAAACACATAAGTGACTTAGGAGCCTAATCATATGTTCAAAAGTGACGTAGGTACTTAAGAGCCTAAATCTCATTGAAAGTCAATGGAACTTATGCTTTGACGTCACTTGGGCAAAATTTTCTAAAATGCCCTAAGTTTATAAAGTGTGCCCTCTAGACCTAACTGGTATCAAACTTATTACTGTACTGGATTCCTGAAATGTAAATATCTTCATATAGACAATGGAGAAAGAACTCTCATCCCCAAACAATTCCATCAAGTAGTAGTAATTAGGGGTTTCCTTACTGTTATTATAAGTATTAAAGTACTTCACAGACTAATGAATACAGAATGGTTTTACTGACTGCAGAATATTTTTACAATACTACATACTTATCCCCACTAATGCAACTGAAAAAAACCTCTTGCTTTAGTCTTTAGCCAATAATCATTATAGATGCAATCACTCTGCAAGTCAGAGGTTCTCTTACCTCATTAATATATCATGTAATTTGCAAAGCCATGGAATCCTGTCCTAGAAACAAAACGAGTTAGCTGAAAGTATGTATTATGGAGTTTCACTTTAAATTGTCTAACATCTACGTAGCAGTTAACTTGCAATATAAAACTGGGTGAATCTCTTTCAATCCTTCTTTGGTGTGGGGAGGCAAATAGACCAACTATTTTCCCCCTGCAGTCACATTAGCAAACTGATCCAGTATCTGTCTCTACAGTCAAAGCTAACCTATACAACTTTTCATTTAAATTTACAAAAACAAGAGCATATCTAAAGTGTGTAAACCCACTACTTGAAAAAATAAACTACTGGAGCAGAACAGAATAAAACACCAACACAGCAAATGAATATGAATTCTTAACATTTGTTTCCATTAACTGAAAACTGAATAAATTAAAAATTCAGTCTATACTATTCTGCTATAGATCCATGCCTTTATGCCTGTCAGTATGTATATATACTATATTTTACATATAAACAAAATACCTTATTTGTTTAGGTTACAAAGTCAAGCAACTGAAAGTTAAGAAACACCAGTTAGGTTGCTTGTGCAACTTTAATTCTTAACCTTGTGCCTATACATTATGATCCCATCTCTAATGATATGATCACATAAGATTTCTTCTAGAAGATCCCTACTTCCTTCATTATGTAGTTTATAAATAATGTAACGTTGCACCATGCAAACAGATTTTCACCTTCTCCCCTCTTCCTTTCTAATCCAGAACCTCTACGACTTCATGGAGGATGGAGAGGGGAGATTTTTATCTACACTGAAAACTTTAAGTGCTTTTAATTTTATATACAGGATGGAAAAGGAGAATCAATGGAAGTTGCATGTAGTAGTAATGTATGTTTTAGGTTTAATATGCCATATTGTGAACCTTTCGAAGAACCAAATTAACTCTTGTTTTATTTGACAACTTAAACAACAAATCTATTCTCGCATAGCTGTTTTCACATCTAAAATAGCTGGTTTGGCAGGAGTTTTGTAGATTGCAGTGGAACCAAAACTGGGACTTAGTCACCTAAATCCAGGGTTTAGGCACCTAACTACTTTTGTGGATCCAGGCCTAAGGCCCTAATCCTGCAAGCTGATCCATATGAGCAGACTTCCAATGAACTCTGTAAAGCTCTTCACAGGTGCTGGGGTCCATCCAAGTGGCTCAACTTGCAGAATGGGGCTTAAGAGTCTGTGTATGCTTCGTTTATGCTTGGCAGTAAGTAACTAATTGTTTGTATACATGTGTAGGCAGGTAGAGTGAATTCCTGCTAATCCCATTTTTCCCTCAGATGCCTCCCATTTGGGTGTGTCTCTTGTTTGCATGGATGAGTGTATATATTTCTCTGGGACAAATGCTATAAAATTCCAAAGGGCAAAAAAGAGGGGAGGGGGGGTTGTAACAAACCCAAATAAACCACCACCAACAAGCTTTTTAAACTGGGGATAAGGTTGTAAATGTTTATCACGTAGGGTAGGGATGGGGGAAAATATTTAGGAACACTAACTTTCCCAGAAAATACAAATGTCATTACACAGCAAAATCAGCCAGGTAATCTTAATTCTGCAGAAATCACTGCCAACCTTCCACCTGGTACACCTTACACACCGGGTGTGAAAGACGTGGCTGTGACGATGGAGGCAGCTTTGAAATGGAATCAAAAAAGTTGCAACAAACTATGGCTATATCCATCTTAAATCCCCTTTGAGTAATTGCCCCTGTACTCAAAACTCATCAACCCTTTGCTTTGCTAATGATGAATGATGCCAGCCTTGATAACCTTCTTGTCTCCTCTCACGTTTCCAGGTCTCCTTTCATGCTGCCTTTTATGCCTGGAGTGCTTTCCCCCAAATTATTATCCAAGCCATGTCTTCTGCCCCGTTCAAATCCCTCCTACAAGCTGCTCTTGCCATCTCATCTGAGAGGGGAAGGATAATGTAAGGGTGGGACTGAACTAAATACCTTGATGGGAGAAAAAGTGGCCAATGCTGAGTGCATTTCATAATCCCACCCCGAGCCAATAACAGCCATCAAGGAATGCGCCTCCCTTACTGAGTAATTGATCCTATTGTCACCCTTGTTCTTCCTCTTCCCTTGCTCCCTTTTTTTGTCTGTGTATGACCCTCATTTATTGTGTCAAATACCAGTTATGTAAAATCTGATGATCAAAGAGTGTCTTTGCCATAGGTCTGGCCCCTTTAAATGAAGCAGGTCCCAGGCCCCAGTGCCAGAACAAGTGCTCCCAGTTTGACCAGTTAGGAGGGTGGGACAGCACCTGGGGCTATAAAGAGTCAGGCTTTCAGTAAGGAAACGGATCAGCAGCAGGAGGAGGGAGGAATTTGTTACCCCACCCTACAGTCCAGGTGAGACAGTGAAAACCTGTGGGAAGAGGGCCTCCAGGGAGACAGCCATGGATGGTGGTGCCCTGCATAAAGGGCAAGGAAGAATTCTGCAGTAGGCCCTGAAGCAGCAGGGAGTGACAGAGGCAAAGGGGGAGAAATCACCTGGGAGTTATAGCCTAGGAAGAGCTGAATAACTGTTTTTGTTGTGGGTTTTTTTAACCTATGTTTGGGAAATAAAACTGCCTAGAAGGAGATTCTGGCTGTGAGAGCTCCTTGGGGGACTGGAGACAGACCAGCACCTTATAGTGTCTCTTCTGGTTTTGTAAGGCACTAAGAATATTTTGGGGGGACTCTAAAATAATTTGATATAACTAATAGGGGAATTATTTTTTACTTGTAAACTAACTTAACGCTAGCCCTGCAAACTCAGCCTGGGTTCAGAGTCAACGGACCAGGAAGCAGTAATGCTAATCTATATAAAGCATAGCTCACTGTAAAAAGATATGTCAATGCTTAGAAAGGTAAACATATGTTGACTTCTCTGCCTTTGGGATTATATACAATATAGCTACCTGGTCATTTAGTGGTATTCCTTGAGCCATTTTCTTTGTGTTCTCTGTAGGATGGTAGTCATCAGCATCATAGAATTTCCATCCCAGCTAAGAAAAAAATATATAATTATGTATAATTTAGCATAAACAAACTAGCTCATGGTAACTCACTAGTTTATCAAGAACACTTTGGCAAGTACAGTTGTGGGATACATGTAGGACTTCTGCACCACAATATGAATCTCACCATCTACATAATGACACTTCCCAGAAATACAAGGTATAATCAAGAGGAAGAAAATAGCAAGTCAATATATACCACGTTTGTTTATAAGTCAAATTCACACTGCACTATATAATTATATTCATCCATGCCTGACTCAGTCAGGACAGATTAAACTATTCACAAATTGGTAATATTTACATATGACATGAGATTTATAATTTAACAAACAATGACTTGCTAGAAGTGAAGAAAATCCTATGTAAAATTACAAATAAAACCAGTATAGTTAGAAAATACCATACTTTAGCCGCCAGATGTGACCCAACAGTGGATCTGTAAGAGAACACAGGGAGAGCACTATATAAACATTACTTCATAATTTTAACTTCCCCTTAAAATGAAGTGAGGTGTTGTCTTTCCTCCTTGGGATGGAACTGGTCATAGGAATGTAGTAATTGCCATAGTATCGCAAACAAATGGTCCATCTAGTTCAAGGGTCGGCAACGTTCAGCACACAGCTCGCCAGGGTAAGCACCCTGGCGGGCCGGGCCAGTTTATTTACCTGCTGATGCGGCAGGTTCGGCCGATCGCGGCCCCCACTGGCCGCGGTTCGCCGTCCTGGGCCAATGGGGGCTGCAGGAAGCGGCGCGGGACAAGGGATGTGCTAGCCGCGGCTTCCCGCCGCCCCCATTGACCCGGGACGGCAAACCGTGGCCAGTGGGGGCCGCGATCGGCCGAACCTGCCGCGTCAGCAGGTAAATAAACTGGCCCGGCCCGCTAGGGTGCTTACCCTGGCGAGCTGCGTGCCAAACGTTGCCGACCCCTGATCTAGTTCCTCATCTGATCTCTAGCTTTAGCCAGAATCATATGCTTCAGAGTAAAGTATAAGTCCCCCCTTCTGCCCCAATAATCCTGATGTTTCCAAATCATAAGTGGTCAGAGATAATAACATCAGCACAAGGTGGATGTTCATATACACTCAATTACCACATCAACATATAAAAAGAATAAGTATAATCTGCTGCTAATGAATTTTCTTTATATTCAGAATATAATAATGTGACATACTCTAGCCCTTTAGGGCAGGAGTTTAGCCTTTTTGTTTGTACAGCAGCTAGCACATTGTAGATGCTATTGGAAACAATAATAATATCTGACACATTAAGTTTAACACAACACAGCTATTATCATTCAAGTTATTAAAAAGAATTTGACTCACTATTGCAAGTTCTTAAAAGTTATCCTAAATTAAGATTTTAGAAACAGCAGGTCTCCTGGTAAAACTTTGAAAGTTGCAGCCACACTTGTTTTATTTGAAAAGCAGTCAGTTGTCATCTTTGGTTACATCAGTTTGGCAGTGACTTCCAGCAGTGTTTCACCCATCACAAGATGCTTTTAACTTTTAGATCAACAGAAGCTGCAGCATGTAAAGACATGATTATTTTTTGACTGAGGTCATGTGCTGAGGGCCTCATTCTAAATGACTGGGTGATTGTATCTATGCGGAGTTGGATTATTGAGGAGTTACATGCCAACCATATTGTGAAACATATGCATCCACATTAAATATAAGAGAAATAATTCAAGAGTATATAATTAGGAGTACTAAGATGAAACTGAGCATGAAGAAATTTATCCTGGGAATCAGAAAACACTTCCTTCCTGGAGGAAGAAATCAGACTATGGAATAACCTGCTAAAGGATGTGGTGGAAACCTCATTGATAACTTTAATAAATTTGTTAGTCTCTAAGGTGCCACAAGTCCTCCTGTTCTTCTTTTTGCGGATACAGACTAACACGGCTGCTACTCTGAAACTATTGATAACTTTATTTGTGTGGACCTAACTAAACTGGATAAAGCACTATAGGGAATAATTGTGCACTTCCCAGGGGGGTGGACCAGATAAACTCATTACTTGCCCTTGTCCTGGAAAAGTAATTTTGATGTGTGGATGAAATATTAGTCATTTCCTTACTTCATGGTAAAAGATGGAAGGGTCCCTGGGCTGATACATTTTCATGATAACTTCCAGAGTGAGATAACCCAATCTCTTTAATCTCTAACTTTTTATGATTCTAAGAGATGTTGGATAGAGGCCTGGGAACACCAGATGGTCTAATCCAGTGGTAGGCAACCTGCGGCCCATCAGGGTAATCAACTGACAGGCTGTGAGACAGTTTGTTTACATTGACCGTCCGCAGGCATAGCCGCCCGCAGCTCCCAGTGGCTGCGGTTTGACGTTCCCAGCAAATGGGAGCTGTGGGAAGCGGCGGCGGGAAGCAGCGGCCAGCACGTCCCTGGCACCAGCCCCAGCTGCCAGGCCCAGAACTCTGCCCCAAGACTCCGCTCCTGATGCCCTGGCTGCCACGCCCACCCCCAGCTTGGCCCCGTTATCCCTGTCTGTGTCCCTACCTCCCAGAACCACAGCCCTGCTCCCAGACCCAGCTCGGGCAGGGGTGCGGTCTGAGTTGGAGGGGGTTCAAGGTAAAAAGTTTGGGGACCACTGATACAGCACATGATTTATTTTTTTTTAAGTAACTGATGCTTTTTGGGGTGTGTTAATGATAGCTGTTTGTGTTGCTGCCTTTACTAGTCCATTCCAAGCATTAATTATTCTCAGCTAAAAAAGTTTTTTTTCTCCTGTTTCTTCCTCACCCTTTCTCTGCTTTGTTTGATGTTCTTAAATCTGTCATATACTGGTTTGTGATATTCTCCTTTGTACCACTTTTAATCATATACCTTAGTTTTCCTCTTTTGATTCCTTTCTGCTCTTTTTAACCTCTCCATAGAACTAATGAGAAGTTATGCTACAAGTTACACTCTTGTCTCTTTTCCAGTTCTTCAGAAGATCCTAAGATTCAAACTAAAACTGGTTCTCAAACTTTTGTACTAGTGACCCCTTTCACATAGAAAACCTGTGCATGTGACCCCCCCCCCCACTTATAAATTAAAAACACTTTTTTTTTAAATAGATTTAACACCATCATAAATGCTGGAGGCAAAAAGGGGTTTGGTGTAGAGGCTGACAGCTCGTGACCCCCCCATGGAATAATCTCACGACCCCCTGAGAGGTCCCGACCCCTAGTTTGAGAACTCCTGAGCTAACATGTTCTAACAACACACCTTTTATCTAGGGTGACCAGACAGCAACTGTGAAAAATCGGGACAGGGGTGGGGGGTAATAGGAGTGTATATAAGAAAAAGACCCCAAAATCGGGACTGTCCCTATAAAATCAGGACATCTGGTCACCCTACTTTTATCCCAGTCAAGCCAAATCCTGGTACGTTCTGAAAGAAGTCTTCTCCAAGCTCTTTTCAAGCTAACAAGAGTTACAGTAGTGTGGAATCTTGTGTGGGGAAGTCCATCCTTGAAAGTTCTTGTCAAGGCCATTTGAAAAATAAAAAAAGGTGGACGGGAGCAGGCACAGCTGTGAGTCCCAAGTTATTTGGTCCTTTTTACTTAGTTACAAGTCCAGGGAAAAGCTTCCCAGTCACTAAATCAGAAGCTTTCCTGCCAATGCTTCATACCTGTTGTCCAAACCCTTTAGTGGGGGAAATCACAGCCACAGGGGTGTCTCTATGCTTTGAGGTAAACTGTATAGGATAATACTAATTCAGCATTCGGATAATACTAATGCAGGAACTCCTATAATAAGGACAGTGGTCAGGTAGGCCCTGCTCAACCCTCTAAACCTGATTTCTCCCCTTGTCCCTTGATCTGAGATCCCCTCTCTACCACAGTGTCACTGACATCATCTACAAAGCAAAGTACTGTAGATACAAGTCAAGTTAAACAGTCAAAGGTCTATTCCAGGGGTAGGCAACCTATGGCATGTGTGCCAAAGGCGGCACGCGAGCTGATTTTCAGTGGCACTCACACTGCCTGGGTCCTGGCCACCAGTCCCAGGGGCTCTGCATTTTAATTTAATTTTAAATGAAGCTTCTTAAACATTTTTAAAACCTTATTTACTTTACATACAACAATAATTTAGTTATATATTATAAACTTACAGAAAGAGATCTTCTAAAAATGTTAAAATCTATTACTGACACGCAAAACCTTAAATTAGAGTGAATAAATGAAGACTCGGCACACCACTTCTGAAAGGTTGCCGACCCCTGGTCTATTCTAACCCAACAAGAGCAATTAAATGAGAGTGTTAAGGCCGCAGTTATCCCTAGTAAGCCCCACAGTGCATAATGGGTAGCTAGCTACCTGAACAGTTGCTGATGTGTGCTGAAATATCAGGAAACAAAAGGGAAACTTTAGCCTTAACTCCTCACTTGTGTCCACGAGCTAGTTTTTAAAATTGTTTATATAGTGATAAAACAGAAGAAACTGAATATTGTTCAAAGCACAGAAATAAAATAAAAATAAAGCCACCCTTCCGTCAGCAACAACTCTTCACTAAATTAAACAAAATCCACTAATAGCACATGCAGGGTGTACCATAGCCTAGCACAGGAACAGTGTGAAAATTACACAAAGCTAGACTGGTTTTTAGTCAACGTGGGCTCAAGGAAATGTATCTTCTGACTGTAATGAGGGGCCTGAGTCACCCTCCATACTTGTGTGGGTGTAAAACACCAAAGGCTCCTTAGTGCAGGTGTGGTTTTGTTTTTCCCCTCTGAAGAATGAAAAACCACGAACTACTGAAAAGTGCCTTCGCAGGAGATGTACCACAGCACAGACAGCCTTTGGGTTAAGTCTTCAGTTGTTGTCCCAAAGCCCCTGCAACAGCGCAGGTTTCAGAAGACTTTTAGGAGGAAATGCCCCCTTTAAAAGACGTGTGGTGCTGAGGGCAAAGCAACCAAGCTCCTGGTTACTGCACAGCTAGTTCCCTGTCAGCCAGGGCAATGCTGGGAGCCCTAGAGCTGCAGCCTGAAGGGGCCCCGGCTTGGGCTAGGGCCCCGAGTGGTTGGTCCGCCTGGCCCTGGCCCAGGAGGGGGCAGGCTGAGACCCTGCAGTGGGGGCCACCCGCTTTCCTCAGGCCAAGCCCGGGACAGCGCGCCCTCAGCGGGGCCGGGGCCAGACACGCGGGGGAGCCGAGCCCACCCACCTACCGCAGGGAGGGACCCGGATGGAGCCGTCCAGGCGAGGAGCTTCCCCCGCAGGGGCTCCGGTGCCTGGGGCAGTCCGCGCGCCCCCGGGGAGGGGAAAGCACCTACTTCCCCGAGCCGCTCACTCCCATCACCACCAGCAGCACCATGCCGAGCCCAGCAGCCTCTCCCGCCGCGCACCTGCTCCTCCTCTGTGCCCAGCCCCTGCCGCCTTCACGCCTCCTCGTTCTCTCTGCTCTGCCCCTCCTCCCGGCCCCTCCTCCGGCTCTGTCCTGGAAAAGACACAGCGGCCTCTCTCTGCCTAGGAGGTTTGTGCTGTGCTGCTCCGTGCGAGCGTGGGGCCAAGCTAGATCGCAGGCTGCAGACGCTTACCTTGCGCTGGGCTCGCTGTCAGCGCTCCCTCCCGTTCTCCTGCCCTAAGAACGGCCCTACTGGGTCAGACCCAGGGTCCATCTAGTCCAGTATCCTGTCGTCCAACAGTGGCCAATGCCAGGTGCCCCAGAGGGAATGAACAGAACAGGTAATCGCCAAGTGATCCATCCACTGTCACTCAATCCCAGCGTCTGGCAACCTGCCCATCCTGGCTAATAGCCATTGATGGACCTATCCTCCTTGAACTTATCTAGTTCTTTTTTGAACCCTGTTATGGTTTTGGCCTTTACAACATTCCCTGGCAAGGAGTTCCACAGGGTGACTATGCATTGTGTGAAGAAATACTTCCTCTTGTTTGTTTTAAACCTGCTGCCTATTAATTTCATTTGGTGATGCCTAGTTCTTGTGTTCTGAGAAGTAGTAAACAACTCTTCCTTATCTACTTTCTCTACACCAGTCATGATTTTATGGACTTCAATCATATCTCCCCTTAGCCATCTCTTTTCCACACTGAAAAGGCCCAGTCTTATTGGTCTCTCCTCATACGGAAGACGTTCCAGACCCCTAATAATTTTTGTTGTCCTTTTCTGAACCTTTTCCAATTCCAATATCTTTTTTGAGATGGGGCAACCACATTTGCATGCAGTATTCAAGATGTGGGCATACCATGGATTTATATAGAGGCAACATGATATTTTCTGTCATATTATCTATCCCTTTTTTAATTATTCCCAGCATTCTGTTCACTTTTTTGACTGCCACTGTACATTGAGTGTATGTTTTCAGAGAACTATTCACAATGACTCCAAGATCTCTTTCAGCTAACAGCTAATTTAGACCCCCATCATTTTATATGTATAGTTGGGATTATGCTTTCCAATGTGCATTACTTAGCATTTATCAACATTAAATTTCATCTGCCATTTTGTTGCCTAGTCACCCAGTTTTGAGAGATCCTTTTGTAGCTCTTTGCAGTCTGCCTGGGTCTTATCTTTAGTAATTTTGTATCATCTGCAAATTTTGCCACCTCACTGTTTACCCCTTTTTCCAGATCATTTATGAGTATGTTGAATATGACTGATCCCAGAACAGACCCATAGGGGACACCACTCTTTCTCTCTTTCCATTCTAAAAACTGGCCATTTATACCTACCCTTTGTTTCCTATCTTTTAACCAGTTACCAATCCATGAGAGCATCGTCTCTCTTATCCCATGGCAGCTTACTTTGCCTAAGAGCCTTTGGTGAGGGACCTTGTCAAAGGCTTTCTGAAAATCTAAGTACACTATATCCACTGGATCCCCTTGGTCCACATGCTTGTTGATCCCTGCAAAGAATTCTAGTAGATTGGTGAGGCATGGTTTCCCTTTACTAAAATCATGTTGACTCTTCCTCAACAAATTATGTTTATATGTTCTTTATTATAGTTTCAACCAGTTTGCCCGGTATTGAAGTCAGGCTTACAGGCCTATAATTAGGATCACCTCTGGAGTTCTTTTAAAAAATTGGTGTCACATTAGCTATCCTCCAGTCATCTGGTACAGAAGCGGATTTAAATGATAGGTTACAGATTACAGTTAGTACTTTTGCAGTTTCATATTTGAGTTCCTTCAGAACTCTTGGGTGAATCCCATCTAGTCCTGGTAACTTATTGCTGTTTAATTTATCAATTTGTTCCAGAACCTCCTCTAATGATACTTCAGTCTGGGACAGTTCCTCAGATCTGTCACCTAAAAAGAATGGCTCAGGTTTGGGAATCTCCCTCACATCCTCAGCCGTGAAGACCGATGCAAGGAATTCATTTAGTTTCTCCACAATGGCCTTATCATCCTTGAGTGCTCCTTTAGCACCTCGATTGTCCAGTGGCCCCACTGGTTGCTTAGCAGGCTTTGTGCTTCGGATGTACTAAAAAAAAAAATTGCTATTACTTTTTTCTCTTTTCTTTGTCCATCCAGAGGGATTTCTGTGTGGGCTTCTGCCTCCAAGGGTCCTTCAGGCTTGAGTCATTGCTTGTGTTTGATGCTTGTAAATAGGCTTGGCGGAAGTCAACGTTTATTTTATCATTTTGACAGCTAACAGCAATGTTTATTTTTAAGAATTTTTTCCATTTTAATCAATTTAAAATTTCACAATAGCAGGAAATTATGGGTGGGAATCAATTATTTAATTACAGTGGATGTTGAGATTCAATAAGTTAAAGCTTTATAATCATTAAAATAAAAACTGGCACAACAAAAAAAAATCACAACAAAATAAATACCCTTACATCAAACTCTAATAAGTTCTCAAGCAACATTTTTCTCACTTTGCTTCACTTTCAATGTTGATTATCAGTTTGTTGATCTGGTGAAATTGACATTTACCCACATTAAAATTCTAATCCTTCCAAGCCTATGTATAAAATATAGAGGTCCCTGGCTTGTGACATTTGCCCTTTAAATGGCAAATTCGAAAGGGTGATAATCCTACAAATGGCTTATGCCCTTCCCTATATGAAACACATATGTGAGTCTATTATGTTCACAGAAGCTGATGAGTTCTGAGGTAGACAAATACACATTTATACACACAAAGTGTGGATGGCCAGGTGATTGGTCAAAACTCAATATAGTGATGGATATCATTTAGATACATCTCAAACCTGTCACTCAGAAATTAATTTTGACAGGCTTCATATAAATGTCTTAGAGTGGTTTGAATGAGGAGTTGGTGGCTGCTGTAACATTAGAAATTGCCAGATAATCCTTTTGGAGTCCTACAATTCTGTTTGGTTGAATGTGTAGGCAATTGGATCTTGGAGAAGTGTTTATAGTTAATTGTGATGCAGGATGTTTTTTGTTTTTGTTTTTAAAGCAGCTGAGCGTACCACTGGTAAGCCTTAAGCCCTTGATCCTGCAACTAGCTTCTTGTGAGCAGACCTCTGTACCTACAAAGAGCACAATTACATCAGTGGAGTTCTGCACACAGGAGTCTGCCTGCATGAAGCCACTTGCAGGATTTGGAGCCTCAGTGTCTCTGACTTAACTCTTAGGTGTAACTGCTGTTTACAGGATATATCTATACAAAATAATTAGGCCTAGGGAAACAAACAACAATAAAGTTTTCCTAGAAAGTACTACTGGTGATAGCATCATTCGTAATAGACGGGATGATTCCTTGAGGGACAAGGTGGGTGAGATAATATCTTTTATTAGTCAAATTCTATTGGTTAGAGAGAGAAGCTTTCAAGCTACACAGACTTCTTCAGGTCTGGGAATGGTACTCAGAGTGTCACAGTGTAACATTCCCCTCTGGTGTTATCCGGACCGGTGATCTGCTAGGCCACTCCAATCCTCGTCTCTGGGAGCCAGCCTTACCCTGCTCTGCTGTGAGAACCCCCACTCCTGAGCTGTTCACACACAGCCTCTGGCATGTAAGCTGCTCCCAGCTACTTGCAAGCGAATGACACTAGCCAATATCTCTGGTCCCAGACACAACCCTAGGAACCTCTGTCTTACAGTGTCCAGTTATGCCCACTGGATGCTGCAAGCTTATATGAGTTTGTCAATTTAAGAAAGAAATTGATATGTACCAGGCTTGTTCTCCCAAGGGGATCCTCTGACAAGCTTCAAACCAAACACACTGCTTCAGGTAGAATAAACAAACAGATTTATTAACTATAAAGATAGATTTTAAGTAATTATAAGTCAAAGCTTAAGAAGTCAGATCTGGTCAAATGAAATAAAAACAGAACGCATTCTAAGCTGATCTTAATACTTTCAGTGCCCTTACAAACTTAGATGCTTCTCACCACAGGCTGGCTGGTTGCTCTTCAGTCAGGCTCTCCCCTTTGATCAGTGCTACAGTCGCTTGGTGGTGATGTCTGTAGATGTAGGTGGAAGAGAGAGGAAGAGCATGGCAAACGTCTCTTCCTTTTATCAGGTCCTTTCTTCCCCCTTGGCTTCGCCCCCCCCTTCAGAGTCAGGTGAGCATTACTGAGTCTCTCCAAGCAAGGTTGAGCAATTCACCTGGTGTGGCCTCATGCAGGTGAGTCATTGCATTGTAGCTCCCTTGCTGGACAATGGCTGTTGATGGGTTGTTTGACACCTTGCCTGGGTGTTGGTTACTTTCCTTGCTGTTGCCTCTGGGGAGCTAATATCTGGCTGATTCCCCCAACTTACAGCATGTTTTAGTGACAACCATACTACACAATTCTCATAACTTCATATGTATTAATGATAATATATGGATAGAGAAATTACTTTCAAGAGATCATGACCTTTCTCCTGATACCTTAAAAGACATGTTTTATACGTAAGATCACGATTATATGAAAATGAGGAATATGGGGGTTACAGCACGCTCCCCCAAGATATAGAATGTCACACACAGCTAAATGCATGTTGAACAGATAGAATATGTGCTTAGAGTACTTATGCTAAACTAAGACACCATTCAAGGTGAAGGGCTTATAGGACAAAAAGGGGGGGTAGTGGGTTACAGATTGTTGTAATAAACCATACATCAAGTGTCTTTATTAAGACCATGATTTTTAGTGTCTAGCAAAGTTATGAATTTAAGCTCCCAAGCTCCTATTTTGGAAGTGTTATGCAGGTTTCCTTTGAGGATGAGGACTGATAAGTCAGATATGAGGTGACCATTTTGTGAAAAGTGTTCACCCACAGGTGATATGGTGTTTTTGTCTTTTATCATTTTCTTGTGTGAGTTCATTTGAGAGCTTAGTGATTGGCTGGTTTCACCCACATAGTTGTTATTGGCACCTGGATGAGATTCACCACTTGTTGTGATAGGCAGGGTAGGACTCATGGATCTTGAAATGTGTGTTGTGGAGGATGCTGATCATTGTAACCAGGGC